GCCCTTCCCAAGGACCCCTGTGAGACAAAGTCAGAAATGGCTTCCCTGGGGACCAAGAGTGTCCACAGGGCTCTTCTTGTTGCTTCCTCTACCCCCATATTTCACTCAGCTCTCTAAATTCATCTCAGCTCCAGGTGAGATCAAATCCTTTTCCAGTGGTCTGGACCTTCGGATTCCCCAGTGAGGATGTGTGTTCGGGGGCAGACAATCCCCCTTTCACACTTTCACACTTAGGGCACTCACAGTTTTTATGCCGTCTCCTGGAGCCTGCAGCAGCAATTTGCTTCCTTCAAAGGGTCTGTGGTTTTTCTTGGCTTTCCTGGTATGTTCCTGCGGTAGTTCTTGGAGCAAAAATTCAAGATGTGAATCTCCACATGCTGCTCTGTTCTTCTGAGTGGGAGCTGCAGGTTAGCCCTGCTTCCCAGCCACCATTTTCTCCCCACATTCACTTTTTGACTTTTCTTTTTTATTAACTGCCTGTTTGTATGCTTTGACCAATTTTTTTTAGGGGTTGCTCTCTAGTTCATGTCAGAAGTTTCTGTGCCTTCTAAATAGAAGTTTCTGTGCATTCTCTTTTTGGTTTGAACATTGTATATGTCATCTTTTATAAATAGAAATTCTGTACAAACCACAGTGCAAAAAAATAAAAATTAAAAAAAAAAAAAAGAAATTCTGAATTCTTATACAAGTTTCTGGACAACAGTGCCCTCTAAGCAAAAATTCTAAATTTGGATGAACTACATGCAAATTTTGGTCTATGATTTGTGCTTCTGAAGTTGTGTCAAGAAGCCTTTTCTTTGTGTTAGATAAAAAAGGTTATCTACCACATTTTCTAGCCTCTCTAAGCCTCTTTGTTTGTCCATCTGTTTCTGTATCTCATCCCACCTCCACAGCTCTATTCATTAATTTTTTGTTTAATTGACATTTTATTGTTGTCACAAACTGTGACTTGATGAAGATAACATAAACTCATAATAATATCCCTCAATAAGAAAAGGAACAATATTCTGGGTGCGGTGGCTCATGCCTATAATCCCAGTACTTTGGGAGGCCTTGGTAGGCAGATCACCCAAGGTCGAGAGTTCGAGACCAGCCTGGCCAACATGGTGAAACCCTGCCTCTACTAAAAATACAAAATTAGCTGGGTGTGGTGGTGCGTGCCTGTAATCCCAGCTACTTGGGAGGCTGAGGCAGGAGAATCACTTGAACCCAGGAGGCAGAGGTTACAGTGAAACAAGATCATGCCATTGCCCTCCAGCCTGGGTGACAAGAACGAAACTCCATCAAGAAAAAAAAAAAGGACAATAAACTTGTTCATTAGCTCATAAAACATGCTAAATTAGTTGGTGAATCAGAACACTTGAAATGTCCTGAAATCTTTCAGCTGACATTTGAAACAAATTTGCTACTATTTCTCCTCAAATTGGGCAAAAATCCTTAAAAAATCATATGAAATTTAAATAAATAAAACCTTGGAAGCCAAAAGAAATGTTTCTAAAGGACTAATAATGAAAAACAAATTTTGATCAAATATGATAAAAATGAAATTATTTTTCTTCCCCTAGAAAATGAGATTACAAAATCACTGATTATAAGCAGAGATAATTGAAGAGTATGAGGACAAAAGAATGCAAGAAAAAAACCTCTGTAAGGCATTGAAGAAAATTGCAAAATTAAAAAATTATGCATCTTCTAAATATTGCCTTGATTTTGGTATTATATACTCATTTAAATAGGTCATGTATTATTATTCCTTTTTTCATTTAGATTTGCTGTTTACATTTGTTATTTCTTTTCTCATTAGAATAATCAGAGTATTACCTAAGTTTATATTAAGAATCTTTTATTCTTTTTTTTTAAGATGGATTCTTCTTAAAAACTAAACTTCGCATAGAGTAGGCCACCTCATGGTACTGTTTTCAACCAATCAACCAAATGAATCATTAGAGCCCTCTAATTCCTCTAGCTGCAATGTTAAACCCAATATTTCTGTTTGGTGGGTCCATATTAATAAATTCAGCCTGATCTAACTTTACATTCCTTCCACCGTTATTCCACACCCACCCTTAATGTGCATTCCCACATATATTTCCTGGATTTCTGTCTGTATAATGGGTAATCCCGGCTTTGCCAATTTCTTGTGACTTAACATCTCTGTGACTCATGTTCTACTTTAAAGTGGAAATAATAACAGTTCCTGTACAGAGTTTAGAACTTCCCAAGATGACCCTCCATTGTGACATCAGTCCAGAGTCCAGGAGAGTCCCAAAGATCATCCTCAGGTTCAGTTTGTAAGCATACACTTACGGGCTTACACTGCTGAACGGTTGGGATGTGTCAGGCATTATCTTCAGCATTGTCTTCAGCACTTACAGATGCTCATCTAAACCTCACAACATCACTATGGGGTGGGTATTACTGGCCTCATTTGAGGGAGGAAGGGGCTGTGGCTCAGAAATGGGGGACCACTAGACCAGGGTCACTCTGGATGTTGAGGACTCCAGAGACTACGACCAGTCACCAACTGCAGAGATATTATGTGACCTTATGTCCCTGCCCTGGAGAGGGTGGAGGCGGACCTTCATTAACCTCCTACCTCAACCCTCTCTTTTAAGGCTCTTTCTAACCTCTGCCATGATACCAGGACCCCACTGTACTCTGTACCCTCTTGCCTCTATACTCCCCACTGCATCCAGCTGGGTCCTCTCCTATCTCCATTCCCAGCTGGCCAGTGCAGTCTCAGTGCCCAACTGTCTGTCAGTAACTCTGAAGGGGCTGACATTTTACCGGCGTGCAAACCAATAAGCTAACTTGCCAGACTTTTGTTAATGCTGGCAGAGTCCAGGAGACTCCAGAGTCAGAGACAAAGGATTTTATTGCTCACAGCTCAGCAGGCAGTATGCGGTTTATGTTCACATTAGTTCACCTTGCCTTCCCAAATCTTGCAGGGTGACCAGAGCCGTCCATGTAGATGCTGTGCACACAGGGTTTGTGCCACTGGTGAGAAACCTGAGATTAGGAATCCTCAATCTTATACTGGGACAACTTGCAAATCTGCTTAGCCTTTGTCCCTGATGGAGATATTATCTTTACGATTTTGGATTGAAAACAGACCTTGTATTTATTGTCCTTGACAGTAAACAAATCTGTTGTAAGAGACATTATCTTTATTATCTAGGGCAGTAAGCAATGCTGGATGTGAGAGAGATACCATCTTGCAAGGATGCCTGCTATACAAACATCCTGGAAAAGACAGTCCAGAAAAAAAAAAAGGTGTTACTGTCTTTGTTTAGAAGACACACAGATACATGACAGAACCATGGAGAATTGCATTCCAACACTGTTCAGCTAGAGCCTTCCACCCTTGTCTTCAGGGCAATCTCAACATTCCACAATTAAATAGATTGTCTGTCACATCCAGCTTCCTCATGCCTAACCAAGTTCTAGGTCCCGTTCCTGACCACATCTGGCAGCACACCACTGACAAAACCAGAACAGGGCAGTGCTCAGGATCCTAAAGATGCATGGCTGGGTATCAGAACTTCTGGGTTAGTGTGGAGAGTGGGTCCAGCCTCCAGAGTTTCAAAGGAGGAAGGAGCTAGAGGTGAGGGTCCTGGAGGGAGATTGTTAGTTCTGAACTCTCAAGTCAATAAGGGAGAAGACTGGTAAGGTCCCAGCTCCAGAGGTTCTGATGTGGGAGTGGCCTAAGAATCCCATATCCAGGCTGGGCACGGTGGCTCATGCGTGTAATCCCAGTATTTTAGGAGGCTGAGGTGGGCAGTTCAGAAGGTCAGAAGTTTGAGACCAGCCTGGCCAATATGGTGAAGCCCCATCTCTACTAAAATTAA